CCTAGGAAAACAAAACAAAACAAAGCACCCAAACTCCCCAATAAAGAGTGTGGAAGTGCTTAAGAACCAACTCAGTTTCCCCACGAGGGACTTGGCAGTAGGCAAAGGGTGAAACATGCTGTTCTCTTGTCCTTGTTGAATTAGAGAAATCGGGCCAATGGTTTCCTGAATCTGAGTAGCTGTCGCACGCATCTGCTACAGATGAGATTTGGGGAAACTGGCTGAGAGCATCTCCTAACAGTTTCCAAATGTGCCATACACTTCCTGACAGCTGAGCGATGCTGCTGTGTTTTAAGCAGCAAAGAGTCTACTGGCATCTTTAGATTCTACACTGGTGGTGGGTTTCCAGAGCTTTCACTCATGCCGGAAGCCACGGCGTTGTCATCAGAGAGGGATATCCTTGTTCAAGAAGGGAAGCTTGGGCTCATCACACTGGACAGAGTGGTTTCAGGTGGTGATTGTGCCAGCCAAGTTGGCTTTTCCTTAGACGCTTTGACTCTGCTGAAGGGGCCCCATTGAGTCATAGCTTCTCTGTGTGTAGTGTACCTGTACTACCTCTGTGGCTTGTCAGTCACCAGCAGCAGCAGCGGGGTGGACTTCCTGCCTGACTTCCTGAACCCACGCTGCTGGTGGCTGGTAGCTCTCTAAAGCAGCCCCCATGGACAGTGGAGGGAAGTGCTTACACAGCCTGGCTGAGCCGAGGTTTGGCCTTTGGCATTAGCCTTTCTAGGTTCCTCTGGCCTCAATGCCAGGATAATGAGCCACGAGCTTCATCCCCCCCCCCGCCCCCATCCCAGAATCAAGTGGGGCTTTCTCACTATGGAAAATATAAAAGTACAGGGAAGGATGGAAGAGTGGAAGGGAGGAAGGAGGAAGGAGGGAAGGAGAAGGAAAGAGGCAAACAGGAAGGGAAAAGTCACACATATTTTCTTCTGACCTTTGAAAATGAATTTAGAAATATTGAAGTCCTGCAGTATGAAAGATGTAGTTTTGTATCCTTCTCTAACAGGCCTCTTGAAACTTTGAAAGTAACGTGCATGTTTATTTTTTGAGAACAAAGTCTCGCTCACTGTGTAGCTCACTGTGTAGCCGGTTTGGAGCTTGGTAAGTAGACCAGGCTGGCCTTGAACTCGGAGATCCTGTCTTCATCTCCTGCATTCTGGGATTAAAGAATTAGAGAATTATGTAGCCAAATGTGTGTGTGTTTCATTGGCTTTCTCTTCTGCTAGATCTGGGCTTGTTGCAGGGTGAGGGGACCTGTCATGTTTTTTCTTTTGCATTTCCTGATGGCTGTTCAGAATGAGTGACACCGTGCTTTTCAAGTGGGGAAGTGGTTTGTATTTCTGTTTTGTCATTTGTTGAGCATGGAATGTTTTTAAAGAGATTTCTTATCTTCTTCATATAGGAGATCAGCCTCTTGTTACGATTACTTTGAAATTTCTAAACAGTTTATTATTTCCTGTTGGGTTTTTGGATAACAGTGTTATGAGAAATATGATCCCCTGCTTAAAGAGTTCAGTTCAACTGTCTTTGGTATATTCATTTGTGCATTGTCTCAATAAATTCTTAAGATTTTCATCACCTCAGAAATAATTTTTGTTGTTGTTTTTGTTTGTCTGTTTATTTTTCGAGACAGGTTTTCTCTGTGTAGTCCTGCCTGTACATACATTTTCAACAGCTTTGGGAAAATACCAAAGAGTACCACTGTAGCAGTGAATGGTGATACTCTTTGTAGACCAGGCTGGCCTTGAACTCACAGAGTTCCTCCTGCCTTTGCCTTCTGAGTGCTGGGATTAAAGGCCTGTTCCAGCACGCCCAGCATCAGAAAGAAATTCTATAACCTTCAGTTACCCCCTGCAGTCACCCCAAATTCTATAGGATGAAGCAAGAACTAACCCACTTTCTGCCTTTATAGGTTTGTCCGTCTTGAACATAGATATTTGGAATCATGTAATGTGTGTGGCCTTCTGTGCCTGACTTCTTTAACTTAACATAATGTCTTCAAGATGTATCTCTGCCATGGGACGTATGAATGCCTCATTCCTTTTCATAGCTGAATAATTTCGTTCCATGGATATACTACATTTTATTAGTTTTTTTCCATCTGTTTTGTTTGTTTACTAAAATGTTAAATTAGGTTGTTAAATAAATCTTTCCCCAAACCAAAACATATAATACATCCAACCATATTTCCACCTTTTAATTTTTAAAAATAATTTTCTTTTTATTTTGCATTTCAGTCCATCTCAGTTTCATCTTGGAGTCTTCTGAATTAGGAAGAGTTTCATGGTACCCCATTCCTTCCCCATTCCTTTGCCAGAGCTACTTGTTGTGTCATTTTCTTACCAACCATTTCCTTTATTTTGTGGCGATTTACTTTTTTTTTTTTTTTTTTTTCTGTTTTAATCTTTAAAAGATTGCTTTTAAGAGCAGTTCTAGGTTTCCATTAAAAACTAAGTGGAAAGCACAAGGGTTTCCTATACTCCTGCCCTGGTCCACATTCGGCCTTCGACACTAGCCACACCCAGCACCTCCTCGGTACAAGGGTGACAATGGGTGTGCCCACACAGAAGCCCATCAGTGTTGTGCGCATCACAGTGCACTCTTGGCACTGCCTAGTCTGTGGATTTGGACAGTGTATAATGGTGTATAGCCACCTTATAGTATCATATAAGATATGTTTGCTACCCTAAAAAACCAAATCTATGAAGTCCAACTGCTTATTCCTCCCGCCTCCCAAGCCCTGGCAACCATGGATTATTTGTTCCCCAATAGTTTTGTCTTTTTCGGAGTGTCCTGTAGTTGGAACCATGCAGTCCACAGGGTTCTTTCACTTGGCATCCTCCTTTATTTACTGTTTTTGTAATAAACCCCACGACCAGAGCACCCTGGAGAGGGAGAGTTTATTTTAGCTTGCAGTTTATCACGAAGAAGCAGAAACCTGGATGCAAGCACTGTAGAGGGATAAGGAAGCTAAACTTACTGGCTTGCTCTCCATGGCTTGCTCAGTTTGCTTTGTTAGGATCACACTGTGCCCTGGGTGGCCCTGCCCGTAGTGGGTTGGACTTCCCACATCAATTCATTAATCAAGAAAATGCCCCCACAAACATGCCTACAGGTCCATCTAATGGAGACATTTTCCTCAGTCGAGGTTCCCTCCTCCCAGATGGCCCTAACTTGTGTCAAGCTGACAAAAACTAACTTCTGCTTCTCCCGTGAGCTCATTTCTGTCTAGCGCTGTATTCCATGCTTGCTTGCCTGTGCTACTGTTTGTTTATCCATTCAGCTACTAGAGGATGTCTTGGTTGCTTCCAACTTTTGGTAGCTATGAAGAAAGCTGTTATAAACATCTGTGTGCAGGTTTTTCTGTGTACATACATTTTCAACAGCTTTGGGAAAACACCAAAGAGTATGATTGTAGGAGGGAACGGTAAAGTATACTTAATCCTGTAAGAAATCGCCAAGGTGCTTCCAAAGGGGCTCATTCCCACTAAAGGGCTCCTGGTGTTGTGTGTCCTTGAAGACATTTGGTGTCATCTCTCTTCTAGATCTTTTCCGTTCTAATAGATGGTATGTCGTGCTGCTCTGATTCGCATTTTCCTGATAAGATTGGTGTGAATTATCTTTTCATGTGTAGATTTGTCATCTGTATCTGGGCATATGCACAGTCTTGGGCATAATTTCACAAGGAGGCCTATTGGTCACTAGGTGCTGATTAAGAGCCCCTCTGAAGAGGTCTTATAGGTTCTCACCATTGTCTCACCATCTCTGCCGTGCCCTTCACGAGTGCACACCTCTGCCTGCCTGCTTGGAGTCTGTGTACTAGTTTCGTTTCATGCTATAATTAAACACCCGGACTGAAAGCAGATTAGGGAAGAATAGGTTGTTTGGCTTACAATTTCTGGTTACAGACCATCATAAAAGGGGGAGCCAAGGTAGGAGCTCAAGCAGTTAGTCACATTGCATTCCATTGTGTCGCATCACATCGAGTTACATCAAATCACATCACATCGCATTGCATTGCATCCCGTTGCATTGTGCTCCATTACATCTCATCGCATCATTACATTGCATCTCGTTGCATTGCATTGAATTGCATCCGATCAAATCCCATCTAATTGCATCGCATCACATTCCATCACATTGCACCTCATCGCATCACATTGCATCCCATCCAATTGCATTGTGTTACATTGCATCACGTCCACAGGCAAGAGCAGAGAGAAACAAATGGACTCACACTTCCTGCTTCCTCTCAACTAGCTTTCTCCTCTCCTGTATAAATCAGGACTCTCTGTTTAGCAGACGGTGCCACCACAATGGGCTGGGTCTTCCTACATCAATTAGCAATCAAGACAGCTTCCCTCCCCAGTTGTGTCCATAGACCAAGCTTGTTTGGATGATTCTGGTCTAAGCTAACTTCTTGAGTGGTTCTAGGTGGTGGCGAATTGGCTGTTAAGAATCCACCCCAGTCTCCATCTCTGACTCTTCTAGCACATGTGGCCATGGTACTCATCTGGAACCCAGTGGTCCCGACTTTGGGCTTGTTGAAAGTGATTGCTTCTCACTGCTGCTGACAGAGGGGGACATTGGGCAGATCTGCCCCAAGTTCCTGTGGCTTTCTGTAGCGTTTCGTACTCTCATGTAAAGTAGGCAATTTCTTCCTGATTCCATTTTCTTTGCCACCCTTCAGCCCTGCAGGATGACCTGAAGCTGAAGCTTCCAGAAGCCTGTTGGTTGAACCTAGACTTGCCTGCCTTAAACTTTTGGGCCTTACCTCACATCATTGTCCTTTTTCCGTCACCCTATGGCCTACAAAGTGGTTGTCTTTTCCCCACTGGATCCTCTTTTGTGACTTAGTGAGCCACTCCCTTCAGCTTGGATTTGTGTGACACTCATAGCCACTTCCTACATGGTGACGTGTGGGGCTTTTAGGGGTGAAGCATGTCTACCCGTTCTCCTTTTTCCACTCCCATTCAGTTGTGTCCTGTATTCCGTAGATTCTGGCTGTGACTCAGTAACTGACACGGAGCCTGAGGAAGAGAGAGCGCTTCCTTTCTCAAAGCAGACAAACCTGCCTCCAGAGATCTCGCCTGGGAACCTGATGGTGGTGCAGCCGGACCGCATTCGCTGTGGGGTAGGCATCCTGGGGACCTGCTAGAGCCCTATCACAGCATTCACTTTTCAAGTAGATGCCTTTGCTGTAGTGAAGGGTGTGAGGGTATTGGGGTGCCTCTTGTTATAACCATGGCCTTCCCTTGGGGCCCCCATCATCAAGGCCTTGAATGAATTGCTCCTTTAAGCCTGAGAATTGAACCTGGGAGTGTATGTGTCATCAATGTAAGAATTTTGTCTTCTGAATGTGTAACATAGGGCAGACAGGACACCAGCAGACATGCGCGTTGTGAGATACCACAAGGTTAGAGGCCTGCATGTCTTCCAGCTGGCCCAGCCCTGGGAAGAGGAAGTGGCACATTCAGGGAGTCTGCTTCTTCATTAACTGCTCACTACTCTGGCCTCAAGGAGGGCTTTAAGGTTTTATGGCGGAAACTTGCTGGCCAATATTGCTTGCTGAAAAGGTTGGCTAAACGCCTACACCGTTTGTGGCTAGCATTTTTCAGGGTGGTTGTAGAATCGCAAGTGAGCTGTGTGTGAGACTTCATGTCATAATGGTAGATGGTTCTTAACGTCCTTCCCTGATAAAATGTGAGGCATTGTGGATAGGTTCGAGCAGAAAAATGCTTTCTCCGTGGATACATGCTGTTCGCTAAAGCTTGCTGTGGCTTCTCAGGACTATGGGGCATGAGAACATTGGCAGTGAGAAGTGTGGTTCTGGCTTTCTCCTCTGCAGCTGAGGCTGCGAGATGCTGGGTACGAGCTCCCTACATAGGAGTTGCCAGCTGGTTTTCAGGCTGGATTAGACTCTCAGACATGTTCCAGTTGGACTTCAGAGTGTTTTAAAAATTAGGTATAAAAGTTGCTGTTCCTCAGTGTCTTGTGAGTCAGAATGTGATGTTAGTCTTGAGGTGACTGGTGGGGCTCTGTACATTTTTCTTTTTCTTTTTATTCATTTTTTTATTTAAAAAATATTTTTTTTGGCATAAGACATGCATCCTCTAGCCTGGTCCCCACCATTCTCTGCTCTTCATTGTTTATTTTTATTCTTGAGGTTTTGAGACAGTCTTTTGTCCATAGCCCAGGCTGGACTTGAACTTGTGATCCTCCTTTCTCACTCTCCGCAGTGCTGGGGTTACGGGTGTGTACCATCATACCTGGCCACTCCCTGCTCTTTAAACCCAGACTATTGTACTCTTTCCCTTCACAGCTAGGCCAATGTGGACACTTCAGGCTTACTGCCCTATGGTTGTGTGGTCAGACTACCAGGTGCAGTGGTGAGTGTGTTTGGGGCCCATTTGTGCTTCGTCACACTTTCCTCCTGCATTCCCACGCTCTCCTTCCTGTTCCCTCTCTGTTGCCCTCTCACTTAGGGCAACACTTAGGATCATCCTAGTTGCTTACTCTAGGTCTGTGGGCCCAGGGTGTGTCTGGGCTGGGGGTGGGTTCTGACTGCTAACCAAACCGACACACGTTCTTTTGGGCTGCTCATTTTCCTGGGGTAGGGTGCAGAACCAGGTGTGTATGGCAGGATTGAGGACAGCCACAGAATGTGTGTTTGAAGAATAGCCTTCAGCAGCCTGGACCACAACCCGGCCCTGTTATAACACAGTGCCTGGCACACACTTCTGCAGGCCTTTGTAAAAGGCGACTGTGACAACTATATGACAGTCCTGAAATGAATGATTGAGGACTAGCTCTGGCCAGAAATCTCTCCTTGCTTTTCTGTTTTGGGGGAGGGCCCAGCCCTAATGATTTTTGTCTAAGCTAACCATTGCCAAGTTCAGTAAAACAAGAGACAACGTAAGTACCCCTTACCCAAAATGCTTAAGGACCTGAAATGTCTCAGATTTTGAATTTGGGGGGTTAGGGAGATATTGGATTATTTGTGTATGTATAATGGGATATATTTTAAAACAAAGCTTATGTTTCCTATAGACATTATACATAGCCTGACAGTATTATAGAGCATATTACTTCCATTGCATTTGGGCTTTGGCCAAAAGTTCAAGCATGGAACTTTTGACTTATTGTCAGAGCATTTTGTGTTTTGGAGTTTTGTATTAGGGATGCTTTGGCAAGTCCAGTGTGAGGTCTTACAGTTAACTGGGCATCTTGCTGAAATGTCCTCTGGGGCAGGGGGTGTGGCTCAGGTGGTAAAGCGTTTGTCTAACATGCATGCAAACCCTGGGTTTGATTCCTAATGCCACATAAAAACTGGGCATTGTGGTACATGCTTGTCTGCTAGTGCTTGGGGAATCAGGTGTTCAAGGTCATGAGCTACATAGCAAATTTGAGGCTAGCCTGGGCTACATGAGATCCTGCTTCCAAAAATAAAAAATAAAAATAAATAAGTGCAGACCCTGATTCAGTGGCAGGAGGCACCTCACAATTTGTCTGTCTAACTTGCTCCCGGGGTGGCAGTGCTGTTGGTCACTTGGCCATGCTTGCAACAAACGCTTGTCTAGGGAAGCGTTTAGTCCAGGGAAGGACTAAAAAAATAAATAGAGTCTGCCAGGCATGGTAGCACATACCTTTAATTCCAGTACCCAGGAGTCAGAGGCAGGTGTGCTTCTAAACTCAAAGCCAGCCTGCTCTACATAGCAAGTTCAGGACAGTTAGGGCTCCACAGTGAGGCATTGTCTCAAAAACTAAAAATCCAATTATCTGAAGCTATAGAAATTTTGTAAAAACGGGGGGGGGGTGTTTAAAATTGCACATATTATTTTGTTCATATTCTTTTCCTTCCCAACTCCTCTCAGATTCTTACACCAAACTTTATGTTCTTTCTCTCTCAAAAAAAGAAAAAAGGAAATAAAGGAAGGGAAAAATCTTATTGAACCGAACTAAACAAACAAGCACATTTAGAAGCATAGAATCAATTTTGTGTTGACCAGCTACTGAGTATGAAGCCAACCTGGAGTGTGGTTGACATACCTAGTCATGTTCCGTTGGAGAAAACTGATTTTCTCTTTCCCAGAAGTTGTCAGTTGCAAATAACTTCTTGGTTATTAACTTCTTGGTTATTCTTGGGACTCTGTGTCCACTTGTGCTTCTCTGTGCTAGGGAGCCTGGGTTGAACCTGTGCAGGTCTCCTGTACTTTGCCATAGTCTCTGGGAGTTCTTATGCGCACCAACTCTGTTGTGTCTAGAAAACGCTGTTTCCTTGGAGTGGTCCGCTGCTTGCTCTTAGAATCCTTCTGCATCATCCTCTGCATAGATCCCTGAGTCCTGAGGAGAGGGGTGTGATAAAGACATCCCATTTAGGGCCGAGTACTTCCAGCTTTTTCTCACTTTCTGCATGTTGTCCAGCTGTGGGTCTCTGTGTTAATTATCTATTACGAGGGGAAGCTTCTTAATGTCCAATGTACTGATCTATAGCTATAGCAACAGTCATTAGGAGCCATTTTATTGCTATGTTCTTTTAGCAGAATAATGGTAGTAGGTTTTACTCTAGTACCAATGATCTATGTAACCTTTGGCTCTTCGCCTCATTAACAGTGTCAGGTATGGGTTCTGTCTTATGGGAGTGAGCCTTAAAACACATTTTTAAAAAAGTGGTTGGTTACTCACAACATTTATGCCACTACCACAGCAGTATGTCTTGCAGGAAGGTCATTACTGTAGATCACAGGGTTTGTACCTGAGTGAGATTGATTGATGATTACTTTTCTTCTCCAGTAGTGCACGTCTGTTACTGTGAATGCTAGTCGGTAGGGGTGAAGCTTTAGCTGTGCACCAACTTGATCTCGTGATGTTTGATGTCGTGAGTGTGTGGTGTCTTCAGCAATAGGGTCTTGGTGTCAGGTTGTGGAGGGCAATCAATAGCATCGCAAATAACCTGTAATTATTTTTGTGTGTGTCGGACCACTTTGGCCAGTGACTTAAAGAGATGTAACCCATTTCTGGTACTGGGACTTTTACTTGGTAGCATATGATGTCTAGTTGGGTGTTGTTTTCCCCATTATATGATGACACCATTTAAATTCCTTTTATATATATATAAATTTTTAAAAAGCAATTTTAAGATGTTATAAAATGAAATAAACATTTATAATCCCTAGGCTTAAAAGAATGAGAGTTATGAGTATAAGTTTCCATCTAATTGTTGTAAAGGTTTATAGATGTTTAGTCTGTTTTCCCAAGTTGCTTCACTGGGCTGAGAGCCTGTGGCCAGGACCATCCTCACTTAGAGAGCGAGCTGGGCTTCCAGGCGCTGGGACACACTTTGACCCAGCACCCTAAGGGATGCAGGAGGGAAAGAGACCAGAACCTGTCTCCCATTGTAGGCAGAAACCACTGTGTACATCATTGTGAGATGCAAGCTGGATGAGAGGGTGTCAACAGAAGTGGAGTTCTCCCCTGAGGATTCTCCCTCCATCAGGGTGGAAGGCACGCTGGAGAATGAGTACACGGTCTCCGTGAAGGCTCCAGGTAAGTGGCCCCGTGCTGACAGGAGAGCATTCTGCACAGCTGCCGTCCTCCGGCTTGCTCACCAAACCATCTCCACCCCTGGGCATTGTCACTCAGCACTGCTAAGCTGGCTTTAAAAAAGCAGTGAGTCCTTTTAATTGCATGTCCTGCATTACCAGTGTGGTTTAATAATTTTCCACGTTCATGACTTTTCACATTTCCTCTTTGGTGAATTGAATCTTTGTGGTTGGTGTATTTTTAATTTTTTCTTTCCGCATCAGAACCTCTTCCGGTGGTATAAACTCCTACCCCAGTAAGAGCACGTAGTACAGACAGCCACAAAGCAAGTCAGCTGATTCCACCGAATTACACCCTGATTTCAGGGTGGCAGGAATAAAGTGTTATTCTCTAACTACCAGGATTCTAGCCCTTGGTGACTATTAGATCTTCATACAAAGCACCTTAAACCCTATTTTATTTTTGTTTGTTTGTTTGTTTATTGTTCATCAAGACCTGAGGAATTCAACAAAAGAGGCTAGAGAGAACTGGCTCAGTAGTTAAGAACACATCCTGCTCTTGTAGAAAAGCCAAGTTCAGTTTCAAGTATCACATTGGACCCTTCAAAACTGCCTGTAACTCAGTCTCCAGGAGGGTCCTATGCATCTTGAAGACATAGGCATCTGCACCCATGCATGCATGTGCATTTTCACATGTGTTCGCTGAGCACGAGCACACATGGAGGAATGTTAATTCAGAAATATGGCTGTTCTGGCAAGAGATCACATCCAGAGGCCTTGTAGGTCTATGATCCGGCTGGAATACAAACATGCCTTTAATCCAGGAGACAGAGACAAGCAGATCTGAGTTCAAGGCCAGCCTGGTATAGAGCAAGCTTCAGGTAAAGAAAGGTTACATCCAGGCATGGTGGTACATGCCTTTAATCCCAAACAATGAAGGTAAACACGGAAGCACCCATGTTTGAAAGTGGTGTCTAATTGAGTGCCAGAAAAAGAGATTAATCAGAGAAAGGTTTGACAGAATAGGATATGCCCAACTCTCATGAGAAGAGAGAGGAAAAGGAAGCTACTTAAGGGGCAATGCAGACATAGAAAGCAGTTTTTTACTGGGACAGTGATAGAGAGATGATTTGCAGAGAGAGAGAGAACTCAGGTGAAGGCTGATTACGCCAGAGAATGAGAAGGAGCCAGACAATTAGAAAAGATTATTGGAATTAATTTGAGGCCAATCAGAGAAATTCAGAGGCCAAGAGAAAAGCCAGAATGAATAAGTTACTTGGGAGAGGAGTTTGAGCCAGAACAGCTGAGTTGAACCAGTCAACCCAAAGTTCAGAAAGAACAGGAAAGGGTGAGCTTATTAATGAGAAGTCTCAGAGGCTGGAAACGGTCTAGGCCTAGGTTAGATTGTACAGAAGCTAGACGCTTCCAGGACTAGGCCTAGGTTAGCAGACAGAGGCAGTACGCCTCAGAGACAACAATTGAAACAGGGAAATAAAAGTTACTTTTACACACACACACACACACACACAAATAAATACTGAAAATTATGCAAAACAGATGAAAATCCTTTAAAAATGCAGTTGACAACCCAATGAAGATCTTATTCTGTATGAGATCAGACATGCTGGCCAGCTCATCTCCTCCCAGCTCACCTCTGACACATCCTTCCAGTTCCAGTGTGGTGCTTCACCATTCAGATGTAACACCCATCTGCTCACAGTCACTTTTTGTTCTTCCTGGCACTTTACCCGTGTCTTTTGTTCTTTTTAGACCTTTCATCTGGGAATGTTTGTCTGAAGGTGTATTCTGGAGACCTGGTGGTATGTGAAACCACCATCAGCTATTACACTGACATGGAGGAAATTGGGAATTTGCTGTCCAGTGCTGCAAACCCCGTGGAGTTCATGTGTCAGGTAAGCCTGTTAGGAGGAGACCCAAGCTCTCCGGACACGAGGACTTCTATGTGGGGCTCTTTAGCTTCAGTCTTGACTGGCAGGCACTAGCTGGATTTGCAATCTGACCATCTTTGCTGTTTTACATAGGCCTTTAAAATTGTGCCCTACAACACAGAGACGCTTGATAAACTGCTCACGGAGTCCCTGAAGAACAACATCCCTGCCAGTGGACTGCACCTCTTTGGGATCAGCCAGCTGGAAGAAGAAGACATGATGACAAGTGAGTGAGCACTCATTTCAGCCGTAGGAGGTGTGGCCTGGGCCGTGTGGTGTGGGTAGGGCATAAGTTATTGTCTGCCAACGCCAAGGCGAACCAAAAAGACAGAGTTAAATTAAGCGATATGTATGAGGGTGCTGCTGGCGTGATACGGCAAGCTTTATTTATCTATCTATCTATCTATCTATCTATCTATCTATCTATCTATTTATTTATTTTTAATGAGTAGGAATATAGTCTAAAATAATGATAAAAAGCCAATGACATAATTGTGTACCATCATCAAGTATGGCGTACTGTACGTGGTGGGTCTGTCATACTTTTATATGACTGGCAGCCAGCCTGGAAGGCTCACTCACACCAGCACCGTCACCAGCACGTAAGAAATGCATTATGCTGTGTTATGGTAGCTAAAGCTTCACTGGGAGGTGGGAGTTTGTCGGCTTCCCTCTAATCTGATGGGACTTCTGTGTCTGAAGTGCCAGTACGTGGTACACGACTGCGCTCGACTCCCTTCTAAAAACACGTGTGGTTCTCATTTACCTTCTAGGTGGAGTTCAAACTCCTTTGCCTTATAATGAGCCTCTCCCAAGGGCTGCTTCTGCCATGGCCTCTCTCTGTACTCTTCATAGCAGTTCTTTGGTTCCCAGATAGTACACGCCTCTCTCGTCTGTATCTTCTCATGGAGACACCATTGCTCTGCCCCTGCCTTGGTTGCGATTGTCCTGGTGGTTTTCCCTTCATCTCTGCAGGAAGCAAGGCCTTCCCCAGTCCTCCAGGAGTGTGTACCTCCAGGGGCTGCTCTGCTAACATGTGGGCCTTTTGTCCTACGGCTTGCCTGCTGTCTGTCTTTTGCACTAGGCTTTCAGCTCAGAGCGGGGTCGCCAGATACTGGCTCTTTGTAGGCTTTACGCAAATATTTGTAACTTGAGGGAAGAGCAGATCCTGTGTACACATTCTATGGTAGCGATAGGAGCCAGGAGAGTTACTCCACATGCCTGGGGATATCTTGTGGAATGCTGCACAGGGCCCCTGCTCCTTCCACTGTACTGTGGTGGTGCTCCACGGTGGCACTCAAGTCTCTGGTTACCTTCTGCCTTTAGTTCCATCTGCCTGTAGTGCGGGAAACACAGGAAGAGAATGACCTGCTGGCCTTCTCCAAGGGGCATTCTCTTCCCTGCGCCCTCTCCTCATTCGTTCTCCTACCGTGGAATGTTCTTGCCTCGCAGCTTTAAATGTTTCTTATTCCTTAACCAGAGGCTCAGGAGTGAGTATCTCATAGCCTGGCAACATGGGGCCCTGGGGACATTTTTAGATCTTTCATCCCAAGGGTCATATCCTGGTGAACAAGAAGCTGGATTTATCATGAATAAAATGACAGGGCCAGGCCTGGAGAAGTGGCTCAGTGATTAAATCACTGTCACACAAGCAAGAGGACTGGAGTTCAGATCTTCAGAATCTCTTAAATCCTATTTGAAATCCCAATCCCAGAAGTCAGAGACAGATGATTGGGAGCAAGCAGGCTAGCTGTACTGGGTCTGCTGAGAGGCCCGGCCTCAAATAATACGGTAGAAGAATGATAGAGGAAGATTCTTGACGTCATCCTGGGCCTCCACATACATGTGCGCTTGCATGCACCCCCCTCACATATGCCTACATGTTTGCAAATGCACGAAAGCACATGAACTACAGCTCACACACATATCTGAAAAGAAGAGAAAATAAAAAACACCTAAAGTGACAGACAGGGCCTAGAAATCAACTTTTATGAAAAGGGGGGAAAAAAAAGATTTATTATGAAAAGGGATGGGGAGATTTATTCCTTAAGTCCCCAGCATGAACCCACTTGTTTTCTTGGCTTATTTACAAAATTGGCAATAAGAGATAAGCAGATGGACCTCTTTCTATTAGAACATTTCTTCCCTTATTTTAATTTTATATGTATGGGTGTTTGCCTGCATGTATGTCTGTGCAACCTGTGTGTGCAGTCAGAGTCCAGAAGAGGGTGCTAGATCCCCTAGGACTGGGGTTAGAGATAGTTGTAAACTGCCATTGGATGCTAGGACTCAAGCCTGGGTCTTCAGAAAGAGCAACCAGTCTCTTAACTTCTGAGCCATCTCTCCAGTCTGGATCATCTATCTCTTAGCAGCACAAAACAGTTGTTTCAGACACATGTTGAGTGTTCCAGAGAAGAGCAAAATGGGATTCCTATCACACTTTGTGGCTTCTGTCTAAGCCTTTAGAATCAGCGTGGATTGGGGTTTGAAATGTAGCTCAGTGGTAGGGCACTCACCTGGCATGTCAAGCCCTGAGTTTGACCCCTAGCCCCAGGGAAAGAAAAGCAACATTTCCAAAGGATTTTTCCACTCTCTTTAAAGCAGAAGACGTGCCACTAATTACTAGATTTACTAATTAAAATATCATTTCCTCTACCATGTGAGTACATGATCTTTAGGGGTTCCCCCAAAGGAAGCCACCAGTTAGGTCAATCAGCCAGTAAGCAATGATTGAGTACCTGCTGCACGCATGCTGAGGCTCAGCAGCTCTACCTCCAGGAGCAAAGGTATCTATCCTGTGCCTACCTTCTTCCCCTTCAGTCTAATTCTACCTGATGCCCTTACAGATCAGAGGGATGAAGAGCTGCCCACCCTGTTGCATTTTGCTGCAAAATATGGACTGAAGAACCTCACTGCCCTGTTGCTCACCTGCCCAGGGGCTCTCCAGGCATACAGCGTGGCCAACAAGCATGGCCACTATCCCAACACCATCGCTGAGAAACATGGCTTCAGGGACCTGCGCCAGTTCATCGACGAGTATGTGGTAAGCTCAAGGCAAGAGGAAGCGAGAGAGGGAAAGAGAGAGGGGCCATGTGATGGGGCATGCGCAGAGTGGCTCCAGGCCTGCCTTTTCATCAAAGCCCCTGGTGGATCTTGTCTCTAACTTGTCTCTCTGGCAATGGGCAGTTTTTGTGGGCCTAAGTCCAAATTTCTATGCCTGCTTGGTAGCCATGTGACTTTAGGCAGGCGTGTCACAAGTCCCCTCCCCTTTAATTTACTTATTATTATTTTTTATGTCTGAGTGTTTTGCCTTCATGCATGCCTGGTGGCCCTAGAAGAGGCCACCTGATATCCTAGAACTGGAGTTACTGACTGTTGTGGGATGCCTTATAGGTAAAGGAATAGGACCTGGGTCCTCTGCAAGAGCAGCAAGTGCTCTTAACCACTGACTCGTCTTTCCAGCCTCCTTCTCCCATTTCTTAATATATATTAAAAAAAAAAAAAAAAGAAAAAAAAAAGAAAAGATCCTAAGAGCTCTGTTCATAGAGTTGTTTTTAGACCAAAAGGAGCTGACATATGCAAAGCACTGAGGCCGTTCCCAAAACTCTGACAGGACCTGGCTGATGCCTGAGCCACTACCTCCAAGACTCCTTGGTGGCATGTCCCTAGCTGCTTTGCCCACCTTTGGGCCCAGGTGAACTGTGTTGGGATGGGTTCTTTAATTCACTAAGTCCACAATAAGGCTCTATTCTGAGGTGGCCAACGTTGATGCTCCCTGCTAGGGACCCATCTCTCTGAGCCCCTGCTTAGATCTGAACTTAAGGCAGGTGAGTCTGCCTAGCTTCCTTGGCAGGCCGGTCTTGGTCGCTGACATGAGTCCTGCTCTGAGTTCAAGCTTGCACCATGCCTGGGATTTATTACACTCCCAGGATCGCCTCCACCCTCTTGGAGGAAGTTGTTCCTGACTCCACTCCCTTCAGGTGTTCTTCCTTCTTTTCAAACTCATAAAGGGCGCTCGAGACTAGCTCATCTGGCTGTGACCCCCAAAACGAGTAGTCAGGCTTACAAGGTCTTGCTTGCTCCCTCCAGACGGGAGTGAGCCTGACGCTTCTTCAGAAATGTAACTCTGCTCTGTGGTAGAAAACCCATAAGGGAGTGATGCCAGGGGAGAAGAGGGGCCTCCCAATGTTTTGGGGGCTGTGTAGGGATTTCAGACAATCAGAAAAGTTCAAGTCCTTGTTTGGGTCCTCACTGGCATAAGTGGGCATAAGAGCCCTCATAATCTTAAAGTTTTTACTTGACTTTACTTTGAAATCACTGATGTGCTGAACACAGCAGGTCTTTTTGTATTGGTCATTGTCTTGTCGGGAAATCCCCTCTGTGTTCAGGGTGGAGACTAATTTGCTGAGCTCATGCGGTCAGCACATGCCCATTGCACTTAATTTTCACCACCCTCCTCTGAAGTTGAAGGGATGAAGACCATCATCTTATAAACGAGGAAAAGGAATTAGAAAGCCATGGTGATTGTGCCTAGGCCTTCACTCTGGTTAAGGCAGAGATGGGATTTGAACCTAGTTCCAGGCTAAAGTCAGGGCTTGTTATCCTGCTCAGCATAACAGGACAGGTGGAAGTGTTATTTTCAGAGCACTGTGAGCTCCTCTATGGCTCACACTTCTCATATCATCTTGACTCCTAACTAAGTCACCATTAGCCTCGCCTCCAAAGGCTGGCCGTGCATGTTGCTCATGGCCTGTAACAGCAGTTCTCAAACTGGAGGTCAAACGACCCTTTCACAGGGGTTACCTAAGACCGTTGGAAAACAGATATTTACATTACTATTCCTAACAGTAGCGAAAGTACAGTTATGAAGTAGCAACAGGAATAATGTTATGATTGGGAGTCATAGCAACACGAGGGACTGTATTAAAGGGTCTCAGCATTAGGAAGGTTGAGAACCAGTGGCCTATAAAGATTGTCACATCTTATTTATTTATTTGCCAAATGCTAAACCTGGAGTCCCAAACGCTAAGGAACTGTTACTCAGTTCATTTGGGTGTCACCGGGAAACTAACGCACTATCAATCAAAGGTGACCTCTGTCAGGTGACCTCTGACCATGAGAGGGGAGCTTCTTGTGGTTTGAGGCTGAAGTAAGGATTGTGACACACCACGGAGTCTGGCCAGTTGTTGTTCAGAGGTTGCAAGGAAGCCAGCCTTCAGCCTCACACCATCTGGAGCAGGGGGGCAGGGGAGGCTTTCTGATACGTTAAGGGCAGCTGTCACTGGGGACATCCAGAATGTTGAAACTGGGGGAGAAAACCCTAGACATTGTCAAGCACTTGGCTAAAGCTTCCAGAAGGTACAGGGATGATGCCATCCCTCGGGGACCCCTGGTTGCACAAGTGTGGGAACACCTTAGCAAATACTGTGCATCTGTGTGGCTCCTTGTGTCATTTGGGTGCCCACTGGGATCAGCGAGCTCTGGATTGAGCACCCAGTGGGCCTGAGTCTACCCAGCCAGCCAAGTTCCTCAGGGCGTGCAACGAGCCCATCTTCCCTTGCAGGAGACTGTGGGCCGGCTGAAGGGTCAAAACCCAGACTGTAAGCCCTGCAGGGAAGACTAGATTTTCTGAGCTTTGTTTTTACTCGTCTGTAAATGAGGGAGAGTCACGAGCCTTCCAAAGGAGGGCGGGTGCAGGAGTGTAGCCCGTGTGGAGCCTGACTCTTAACTAGCTGCTCATGAGGGAGTCATTTTTACTTATGTCCTCTGGCCTGTGAACACCAAGCTAGGCTATAAGTGCTTTACTCTGTGACTAATGTTGGAGGAAGATCTAAAGATCAGAACAAGAAGGGTAAGGCAAAGGAGAGAAAAGAGCCCAATGCCTGGCGTTTCAGAGCTCTCTGCAAGTCGGGGAATGCCGATAAACAGTTGGAACCCTGATCCTTGACTGTCTTTGCCCACTTCAAGGCCACTGGTGGCCCGAGTGTGCCCAGCTAGCCAGGTTCCTCAGTGTGCCATGAGCCCATCTTCCCTTGCAGGAGACTGTGGACATGCTGAAGAGTCACATTAAGGAGGAGCTGATGCATGGTGAGGAGGCTGAGGATGTGTACGAGTCCATGGCCCACCTGTCCACAGACCTGCTCATGAAATGCTCCCTCAACCCTGGCTGTGACGAGGAGCTGTATGAGTCCATGGCTGCCTTTGCCCCAGCGGCCACAGAAGATCTCTGTAAGTAGCCCTGGTTCTGCTTCCGACCTGTTGCCAAGAAACAGCTTTCTCCAGTCTAGTCCGAAGGGGGAAAGCCCCTGATTATCCCTGCAACCACCCAGCAAAGAGCCTGTGTTGCAATAGCACCGGGCTGCAGGGCCGCGTGGCTACAGGCCTGCAGTCATGTGTCATAACAAACAGAGCCCTTCTCCCAGCTTCCTCTGTTGCTCTCCTGGAAGTCCCTAGTCTTGACAGTAAGGCCTTGTGACCCAGAGGCTCTCAGCCCTACAGTCCTGATGGGCCCTTTTCATAACAACCATTTTACAACACCTCTTTTACTATCTGACGTACAATTTGCGTGTGATATAACCTACCCACACATGAAACCCTTTGGCTTTCTTTCTTACGCTGTCTCAATTGAGTTGTAGAAGAAAAATGAGCGGAGAAGGCGTGCTTAGGCATGCCTGCATGTGAAGACATACGAAATAGCCCTGTGCAGGCAAATACATCCGGAGCCACCACCAACGTCATAGTCTCATATGTTGATTGACACATGTCTGTTGTTTGGTGACTCAACTACCTAGAGCAGTGTTGGCGTTGATACCTGGATTTTCTTAAATGATGAAACCCTTCTTTACAACCTCGTATAATTTGGATTCTTGGGAATTTCAATGTGTAAAAGAAATGAAGGTATAAATTTAGGTGTGTGTGTGTGTGTGTGTGTGTGTGTGTGTATGCATGGGCATTTGTGCATGTTCCAGAGGTCATCAACTTTGGAGACAAGGTCTCTCTTTGGACTCAGTGGGACTCACTGGTTGTTGGACTGTCTGACCAGCGAGCTCTGGGGGTCTGTCTGTCTCTGCCTTCCCTTCAGAGGGCCACAGAGGCAGGAGACCACGCCCACCTTTCAAGTGGGCTCTAGGGATCCAGGCTCAGCTCCTCCTGCTTCCACAGCGGGCACTTTACCAACTGAGCCATCTCCTTAGCTTGACGATCTAGCTTCCATTGCAGGTGTTTCCTCCATGGGAGTGGCAACCCCAAATGCCCTCACAGAGCTTCAGGGCACCCGTTAGGGAGAAGTTGATCTAAATGAGGCTGGTGAGGAGGCAGGTGGATACAGCTGCACACCTCCTCACCCCCCCCCCCCCCGGCTTCCTCCTGTGTTACTGTCACGTACCACGAAGTGCAAAGCACTCTGGAATGCTGCCCAGGACTTAGCACTCTTTCCTCCTGGGTCTGCTTGATAGATTCAAGAAAGACAAGATAAATGTCCACCAACACATCAGTTTTATGGACAGGGGATTTCTGGGATGGCTAGGCTGAGTACAGCCACACTTTCAGGACCTGCAGGGAAGGGACTCTGGTTTTCCCATGCATGGGGGCCTGACAGTCAGAGGCACAGGCTGACTGGGAGCGAGGGGTGCTGTAAACTCCCCTCCTGGCGCCTTTGGGGAGAAGGAGAAGCACGCAGGGATGCCCTTCACAAATGAGCCTGGGCTGGCAGGGCTCTGAGGAAGGAGGCATGATCCACGCCGAGCCACAGCCTTTATCTCATCAAATCCTCATGGCATCCCTACAGATGCTGTTGCTATCTGCTGTCAAACAATGAGGAAACAGGGGCTTGGGGAGGTTAGCTTCCCCAAACGCCACTGCTAACAGTCTACAGAGCACAACTTTCCCACCTCTTAACCCAGGCCAAAGTTTTATCTCTAACATGAGACATTTTAGTTCTGGTCGCCTTTAGCAAGCCTCTCAGCCTCTAAGGCCGACTCCCCTATCTGCAGATCCAGGAGCTGGCTAACAAAACAGACTAAGGCTATTCCAGCCTATAATTCCAGCACTTAGGGGAAGAAGGAGGATCAAGACCAGCCTGGGTTACAAGCAGACCTTGTCTTGAATACAAAATAACAGCCCCTCCCCCAAACAAAGAAAACCCAGCTACCAACATCCCCTGCCCTCACGCCTCTGCTCACCCACTTTCATAGCTACCAGGTATTTCTGTTGCAACTACTTGATTCTCCTCCTGGTGTTAGAGTTACAGTGGACCAAGGCCTGTCTTTTTCCACTTTAGAACAGGGGCTCATTCATAAAACCATCAGCAGCACCCTTTAGGAATGCAGAAAGTACACATGCTTTCTGCCTCATTCCCTAGCTGTGGGGCTGTTGAACAATGAGAGAGTTCCCTGCTCACTGACAGTGCATGCTGACGATATTCCTGGGTTCTATCCCCCCACCCCGGGATGCTCCAAAATATGAAATTCCCCCATCACATTGCAGGACTCCTGTAGGGATACTAAGGCTCCCATGCTGTGACCTGGGACAGGATCACCAGTGCTTCAGAAAGTGCTATGGGGCTAGCCTGGTTGTGGCTAGATGGCAATTTGTAAAGTCCCTTGGGATTGGGAGGATGTGGATGTCACAGACCCAAGGAGGCTACCAGGAGGGAGGCAGGCTGTAGGCTGTCGGATGCTGCTACCGTTTGGGTGGGGAATGAACTGATAGAGTTTTAATTTGCTAGGTTGTATAATCTCTGAAGTTCCTGACTGTAGATATGATTTGGGTAGTTTCTGTCTCTGTGGTTGTCGGGGTTAACCCGGAGAACAATCCCTTCTCTGCTGGTTCAGAAGATGAAGCAACCTGGGCCTGGGAAGAACCACTCATTTCACTGACCGTGACTTCCTGGATGAGAAGGAAGTCCGGCTCTGGAAGAAGCAGGGTAGAGGGCAAATGGATCCAGCTCAGATGCCGTGGCAATGCTAGCATGGTGATGGCCACTCATTTGCCATCCCCAGATGTGGACTGGTTACTTTTATCTGTGGTGTCTTACCCAGCTGTCATTCACCTTGATGAATAGAATCCTCTCTACAGGGGAAAACTAAAGGATCCAGGAGTTCTTTCCTTCCTTCCTTCCTTCCTTCCTTCCTTCCTTCCTTCCTTCCTTCCTTCCTTC